GGGGTGTAAAAAGGCAGGAAGGGCTTTAGGATGAAGGAAATGCAAATGCCACCAACTCACCTGCAGAGTGGTGGAAGTGCCCTGTGAAACAGGAGGCAAATGCATCCCCTGGGATTTGGGCACAGTGAGGAGCAGAGCTGTGGGAAGTGATGCAGCAGGAGTTTATCTCTGACCCAACAGCAGACTCACTGCTCTGATGAAGCTTCTCCTCCTCTCCCTCAGCAGTTCCCGGTTCTGTAAAGATATCAGCTGGGAAATTTAAGGGAAACTTGGTGTTGAAAGAGTTCCCTGAGGGTTGGCCTGAGCTGCAGAGCAGCAAGACCAGCGTGGTCCTTCTTGCTGGAGAATAACCTGAATTGCAGCAGTCGGGCTCTCCGAGCTGAGCTTTGATTTTCAATAAACTGAGAAAATGCATATTGAGTGCAGTGCCTCTTAAGCAGCCAGAATAATGGAAACACAAGCAATAAGCTGTGGGAGTTAATTGCCTAATGGCTCCTCTTCCCATGTGTGCTCCATCTATCAGTTAGATCCTTGGAGACCTCTGGCCATCAGCTCAGCCCCTCTGTGCTGAAGGGCTCTAAGCTCATCCCAGAGCTGCTGTCACCAGTGTAACCCCTCCCAGCCTGGCACATCTCGGTGCTCCCTGCCCTTTGGGTGCTCCTCTGGGTCTCCTTTCCTCTTTGGTGTGGCCCAGTTTTTTCCTTGTGCTGTCCTCAGGTTTTGGTGACACCTTTATTGGGTTGTTTGGGAGGGTGTGGACAGAGCTTGGACACTCCCCCTGTGCTGGCCAGGAGTGTTTGTAGCACAGGGATGTGAACCATGGAACTGGTTTGGGTTGGAAAAGACCTTAAAGCCCATCCAGTGCCACCCCCTGCCATGGGCAGGGACACCTTCCACCAGCCCAGGTTGCTCCAAGCATCGTCCAACCTGGCCTTGGACACTGCCAGGGATCCAGGGACAGCCACAGCTGCTCTGGGCACCCTGTGCCAGGGGCTCACCACCTTCCCAATATCAAATTTCTTCCCCATACCCCATCTGAACCAACTCTCTGGTAGTTTGAAGCCAGTCCTGCCACTCCACGTCCTTGGAAAGGTGAACCTGGAAGGGAATCACAGGCAGTGTTTGATGGAAGAGCCTCATGTTGTTGCTATTAATTAGCTGGTAATAACCACGTTCTATTTCATCTAATTAAGCTCAGAGCCCCAGTGCACAAGAAAAAATCGGAACTTTTCTTCTCCTTGAAGAGATCCTGACCCAAAAGGACAGGAGGAGGAGGTGGAAAGACTTCAGGTGCTCTGGGAGAACAAGTGGCAGGTTTGGATATACAGAACCCTGTGTCTCCCTGCAGTGACTGACCCATTTCAGCCAGGCTAATTCACAACTGGTCTCCAAATCTGAATGTTGAATTCGCTTCAGAGGGTTTAGGTGACTCCACTGATGCAGAATTTTCCTGAAGTGCTCTGGGAAATCGCTCTGACTGCCGTGGGCTCCGAGCCCCTGAGCTGTGCTAATCTGGGCTTTGCTGTGTTAATGTGCTTTTCTGCAGCTTTCAAAGCTGGGCTGTTCCAGGTCTCTGTTGGGTTACCAGAGAAAATAGAGCAGGACCTTCCCCTTCCCACCCCCAGTGTGCAAAAGCCGCTGTCATCTGACGTGGCCTTTTGTAAGGGATGAAACATTTGTCACCATCAGACCTTTAATTGCCAGTAGGATAAAGGGAAATGGCTTTTAGCTGAAGGAGGGCAGGGTTGGATGGGATTTTGGGAAGGAATTCCTGGCTGGGAGGGTGGGCAGGCCCTGGCACAGGGTGCCCAGAGAAGCTGTGGCTGCCCCTGGATCCCTGGGAGTGTCCCAGGCCAGGTTGGAGCACCCTGGGCTGGTGGAAGGTGTCCCTGCCCATGGCAGGGGGTGGCACTGGATGAGCTTTAAGGTCCTTCCAATCCAAACAATCTGGGATTCTCTGAACTTCATGGAATGCTCGGTCTCCTCAGGGTGTAGCATTGGATTTTATGCCCCAAATGGGATGCAGAACACTCTGAAATGGGAATGAACACAGGTGATCTCAGGTCTGCCCAGACTGGGGCTCCCTGTGCCCCCTCACTGCTCCCTCAGGTGCCACCAGAGGTGCTATTTGAGGACAAGCTGCTCAGAAATGCCGTGGCTTTCCCAGGGAGTGGCACCTCCAGGTGGACATGAATGGGAGCCCAAAATAGCAGCGTGTAAAAACCTCCCCTTCAAAGGCTCCTGATCCCTCCATCCTCTTTACACTCATTGTATCCTGCTAAGAGGCTTAATTGACACGCTGCCTGACAGGTCCTGTCAGGCTGAGACAGGAATCCCCAGCATTTCATCCAAGGGCCACGGTGTTCCCTGGGAAAACAGGGCAGAATGTCAATGATTAACAGGGAAAATGAAAAAATGGAAAGTTAATAAACCCCAAGATGCTTCAGGGGTGCAAAAATAGGGGGAAGGGGTGGAATTATTTGTGAAATGGGAAACAAAGTCTTAAAAACAGGGGTCAGAGCAGCACTGGCATTGGGCTGTTCCCAGCATCCCAGGGCAGCTGAGGGGTTGGAAGAGCAGCTGAGGATCCTCCTGTGCTGGAAGATGAAAGGCACGTGGATCTGAGCTGGTGCTGAGGGGGGTTTAGCTGGGGGAGGTGAGCAGCAGCAGAGAGCACTTCATTACCTTCTGTCCACCCTTTCCATGAGGAAATTCCTCCTGCTGTCCCACCTGCCCCTCCCCTGGCACAGCCTGAGGCCATTCCCTCTCCTCCTGTCCCTGTTCCCTGGGAGCAGAGCCCGACCCCTCCCGGCTCCCCCCTCCTGTCAGGGATTGCAGAGCCAGAAGGTCCCCCCTGAGCCTCCTTTTCTCCAGGCTGAGCCCCCCCAGCTCCCTCAGCTGCTCCTCAAGGCGTTCCTCACAATATCCCACCTCCCCAAAAATTCAGATCTTCTGAAAGGTAATTAAGGCACAAACAGAAGGGGCACTTTAAAGACCAGAAAAGACCCCTGAGTTTGCTCTGAGCACGGATCCAACATCCCAGTGTCACTGCCACCCCCTGATGACCATGCCAGGGGTGGAGGGAGCACCATCCCAACCCCTTCCCCGGGCTCATCAGCCCAGTAAATTTGGCTGCAAGGAGGCACCGGTCAATATTTCCCGGTTAATGACGCAAACCCGAAATTAGTATGGATTTTGTGTCTCCTCCTCTTCCCCATTACGCAAACACTGCCGGGCCCCTTCCGGAGCTGCCTTTCATCCCAGCTTTTGTGGAGCCTGCCTGCTGATCTTTAATTGCAGGAGTGAACAGTCAAAACTGTCACCACCAATTTGGGGGTTTACTTGTGTTTTTTTTGGTGTGTGTGTGTGTTCGGTTTTCACCCTGGGGTTAATAGAAAATGACGTCAGGCACAAGGGGTGATTCGTGTCACTCGTGCAGGTTTTGTCACCCTGAGCTGTGTATGAAGTCGATTGCAAATCATCTGCACGTTGTAAATTACTGTACACAGCTCTGGAGCAGGCTGGAAAAACGACCAGAGGAAGAATGGGGGAGAGGGAAGGGTTATCTTGGGTATCTTCTGAACTGAGCTGTGCTTCAAAGAAAGCAACTGGGAAAGTTGTTTGGTTTTAATATACCAGAGGAGGATGTTCCTTAAAAGCAGACAATGAAAAGAGGGAGGTAAAACCACAAAGGCTTTTCCTGACTGGATCATTTCCAAAGGCTGATGAGTGGCAGGAGCCTCCAAAGTCACAGCCAGCTGTGGTTTGACCCCAAAATGGGGCTGCAGTTTGAGACCCAGAGGGGCAGAGATTGGGAAACACCTAAAGTGTCACCTTGGCAAATCCACTTTATGCTTCAAATCTCTTTTGCAGCAACAGTTCTTCAGAGGCTGGGAGGAAACAGAGCTGTGTTAGGGGTCCATCAGCTCCCAGCTGGGATCCTGTTCATGTCAGGCAGGGTGGAATCTCGGACAGGATTAAAATGTCTTTGTTTCATAAAATCAGCTTGGATTGGGAAAGCAGAAGGTGGAGTTGGCTGATGTGTTGTGCTCCTGGACACTGCAGGGAACAAAAATGAGTGTTCATCCCCCTGTCAGATAAAGATATGGAAGGGGGAAATATCCTTTTTTTAGCCTTTTAAATGTTCTTGGCCTTCCTGGGAAACCTGTACCTGGTAGAGAAGTGGGAAGTAAATTACCCTCCTTCCTTCCCTCTCAATGAGAAAGTGCTTTTCCACCTGATCCCTGACTTAATGAGCTCAAAGAAGTCATGAATTATCACCTTTGTTCTTCATGGTTTCTCATTTTCTGCTGCTGCTTAATTATCAGCGTTTGATGGATGAACACAAACCCGGAGCACATCCCAGAGTCTCGGGGTGGTGATTCTCTTGCATCCCCTCCCAGGGCTGTGCTTGGGAGGGTTCAGTGCTGACCTGGTTCTCCTCCACCCCTCTGGGATGATAAAACCCCACCAGTCAGACACAATTTCTTTTTTTAAGCCCAATTTCTGTGCTGAACACCTGGGGTGGATTTTTCCCACGTGGATGTGGAGACTCCCAGCTCTGCATCTGCACCTAAATTTGTGACACCTCTGCTACTGAAACAGCAGCTGAAGCAAATAAAGGCTGTGAAACTCAGCCAGTGGCTCTTAATTAGGAGCCTGAATGGTGACTGATTGCAGAGCAAGGAGGAGATTCTGAAAGTAGGAGCTGATGCTCTTGCCAAGATCGTGTGGAATCAAAGCAGCCCCACACCTGAGACCTGAAAGAACAACTTCCCTTTGGCTCTGTGTGTTGTTTTTGAAGGTCTGATATTGCCTTTCAAACTCGTGCTGGGACGTGCTGATAAATATCTTGATTTATTTGTAGCTGTTTTGGGTTTTTAAATTTAAAAGCAATTTTGTAGATGTCACTTGATGGGCTGTTTTGTTCAGCGGGTTGAGCAGGAGTCTCCAAGGGCTTCCCATCAGCACACTGAAAATGGGTTTTCCTCTCCTTTTAGGAGGAGCTCCGAAGGCTCCAGCACACCTTGGAACAGGTCAATGATGGCAAAGACTCGCTTCAAAGGTAAGTTGTGATTTCCACACATGACATGGCTTTTCTGAGGTCACAGTCCCTTGCTCAGGACCCATCTCTGTGCTGCAGGCTGTGTTTTCCTCCTGGTGATGCACTAAATATTCCAAATCTTGCATCCCTCCCCTAAACAACTCTTATTTTTAGTTCTGGGAGGAGAATTTCTGCACACTGCTGCTGATTGAGAGGTGTCATTAAGTGTCCAGTAAAGGTCTCAAAATAACTCCACAACTTGGGCTCCAAACTTCCATGCCCTTCCTGCTGCTCCTCCATCCAAAGCAGCAGCCCCAGATGTTTGATTTTTATCTTGTAGTTTTTTTAAATGGCTTTTTCCCAGCAGCACCCATTCCCTGAGCATCATTTCTTCCCAAGGATTCTTCCTTCATCCCCCTGTGTGGTTTGCGCTGCTGGAATTCCTTTGCTCCCAGCACCCCCATCCTTCCTTTGCCATTCTCCTCTCCACCTTTTCTGATGCAGCTGCAGGGATGGAAGTTCATTCACCACCAATCTTTCTTCTCTTTGCCAAGGGGGAGGTTGTTTGATTTGCACTCAGGCAGATTCCCATCTGGGAATCTGGACACAGAGAGCCAGGTGCCTTTCTCCAAGGGCAGTGTCACCTCCTAACGAGCAGTGCGTGTTCTTGTCCAAATTATGGAATTAATTCACACAGATGGCGGGAATGTCATGCTGGGACGTGTGAAACCCGTTTTTTCTTTTCTCTCCCCACAGCCATCAGCTTGCCATGGATGAGGAAAACAACATTGAGGAATACCACATCAACTTACAGCCCTTGGAGTCCAAAGTGAAAATGTGAGTCCTGAAGGATGTTGGTTCCTCCCCGAAGTGCAGCTGAGTGTGTCCCATTCCTGAGCCCCAGGATCCAGGCTGTATCTGCCTGGACTGCTGTGTAACTTGGTAAAAGAGCCTGCAATTAGCAAGTTAATTAAGTTCTTCTCTGCCTTGAAGCTCATGGAGCTGAGAGAATTGGGATTGTTCAGCCTGGGGAAGAGAAGCTTTGGGGTGAATTAATTGTGGCCTTGCAGGGCCTGAAGGGAGGGGACAAAAATGATGGAGAGAGATCATTTCCAAGGGATGGAGGGGCAGGACAAGGGGGAATGGCTTCAAACTGTCAGAGGGCAGGGATAGATGGGATATTGGGAAGGAATTGCTGGCTGGGAGGGTGGGCAGGCCCTGGCACAGGGTACCCAGAGAAGCTGTGGCTGCCCCATCCCTGGAGTGTCCAAGGCCAGGTTGGACAGGTTTTGGAGCAACCTGGGCTGGTGGAAGGTGTCCCTGCCATGGCAGGGGTGGCACTGGAAGAGCTTTAAGGTCTTTTCCCACCCAAACCATTCTGGGCCTCTGTGATTTGCATTCTCTTTGCCCCAGGTTTCAAATGTTAAATGTCGGTGTTGTGCTAATTTGGTCATTTCCCCTGTGAAATTAAAGAATAGTTGAGAACCTGCTGGATTTTCCACATGCACAGAGAACATCCCAGAGGAGGGAAGGGCAGCACAGGCTGAGCAGAGTCTTTCAGGGCTGGTTTTCCCATCCAACATGAAGTTCCCCAGGCAGCTCCTGGAGAGTGAGGAGCAGCCCTGGGTGTGCAGGGGATGGAGATTTAGGGCTGAGGGGAGCAGGGTTCCTGCTCTGGGGGTGCAGCACAGCTGTGTGGCATGGGAAAAGCTGGATTTCCTTGGGAAGAGAGGCAGCTGGCAGCACTGAGCCAAGGCACACGCACGACACCTGCTGCTGGGAAGGGAGGGAGCTCCATCCCCTAACTCACTGTATATTGAGATATATAGGACAACAATATACTAGGATATTAAAATATTAATGCTATATAAAAATATTAACAGACCACGAAGTTTCAAATTAAAACCCAGCCAGTGTTTTTTAGTCATGCAACATAAACCAAATGAAAGAACACATTTCAGAGAGCTTTCTGGAAGGGGGATTATGATTTAAGCTCAGTATACTCTCCAGCTTGAAAATAGAAAGTTCATGGAAATACAAACATGTAAATACCGCTTGTGCCAGTATTTACAAACATGTAAATACCGCTTGTGCCAGTGAATAAACACTCGATTGCTTCAAAATCCTGAAAGGAGCTATTTCTGCAGACTGCCCAGAGAAGCTGTGGCTGCCCCAGCCCTGGAAGTGTCCAAGGCCAGGTTGGAGCAATCTGGGCTAGTGGAAGGTGTCCCTGCCCATGGCAGGGGGTGGGACTGGATGGGCTTTAAGGTCCTTCCAACCCAACCCATTCTGGGCTTCTCTAATCCTGCTTTACAAGTTCCACCAGCAGCGACTCCAACAAGACCCTCCAGAGTGATGATCATCACCCAGAAGGGCAAACAACCCCCCAAAACCCCTGCCTGTTGAGCCAGGCCCCTCCATCTGGCCCCCTGTCGTTGCAGCATCCAGCGGGCATGGCGGGAGCATCTGCAGCGCCAGGACCTGCCGGGCAAGCGCAGCCCCTCCCCGGCATCGCTGTCCTCGGGCAAGATGAGCAGGTCGGGCAGCACCAACACCTTCTCCGACAGCAGCACCCCCGTGAGTACGCACAGCACCCCTGCCCTGCCCGCCCGGGGTCCTGGGGGTTTAATGGGGGGTTAATGATGGGTTAATGGGGGGTTAATGATGGGTTAATGGGGAGGTTAATGGGGGGTTAAAGAGGGATTTTTGGGGAGCAGCGGTGCTCAAATCATCCTGCATGCCCAGCTCAATGTAGGGCTGTGCTTGTCACCCCTGGATCTCAGCAGATAGAAGTGATGCTTTTGATGGAAAACTGCTGTTTCCAAACGGGCCTGTGTTCTAAAAACTGAAAGCAAAGACCTTCACACGTGGCTAGCATAATTTTTCTCCAAAAAAACTACCCCAAATTGTGGCGCTGTTTTTGAAGATAAGTGTGGCTTCCAGGTTGGTTCTGGTTTGTTGGGGTTTTTGGTGTGGTTTGTTGGTGGTTTTTGATTTGGTTTGTTGGTGGTTTTTGATTTGGTTTGTTGATGGCTATTGGTTTGGTTTGTTGGTGGTTTTTGATTTGGTTTGTTGGTGGGTTTTGATTGGTTTGTTGGTGGTTTTTGGTTTGGTTTGCTGGTTTCTCTGTTTGCTAAACAAGACTTGGAGAAGTTGGTCCAGATGTCAAAAATTAAATTTGAGTTTGGAATAAATGTTCCCCAGCACCTCACAGACCCGCTGACCAGTGGCTGGAGGTTGCATTTCTATTTTTAAGGTGACTCTAAACTAAAACCCCAAATGCAAAGCCCCCTTTCTGAGTACAGGCGGTTCTGTGACTGCCTCTGAAGTGGCATCTTTTAGGTCAACAAACCAGCAGGTAGAGACAGAGCTGAGAAAGCTTTTGGCTTGTGATGGAGCCAATAAGGATTCGTGTATTTAAAGGATGATGTTCCTTTAATGAGCAGGATAAATGTGATCTAAAGTTCATCTGCACTCGGCTGCCACAAGAGGCCCCTCGTGCCCTGCACAGGGACACTCCCGGCTGCTCTAGGGGTTCTCCATCCCTAAGCTGGTTTGGAAAATGATACATTTCCAACGTTTTAGAGGTGTTCTGGGGTGAAATAAGGACATCTGGGAGTTCTGTGTTTGTGGGAAAATGTGGGAAAGCGAGGTGAATGATTACTGTTCTGGAAAAGCACTTGGAGAGTAACATCTGCATCTCTTGGAAAAGTTTGCCAGGTTTTGATGCTTCATAAAGTGCTTTTGATTTGCTCAGAATATTTGTCACTGAAAATAGGCTGCTTTGAGATTCCCAGCCAATCAACCTGTGTTTCTGTGAAAAACATCACAAGAGGCACAAAATAAAATAGGGCACAGTGAAAAGCAGGAAAAAATCCCCTCTCAGATACCCAGAAGGAAATCCCTGCAGAAAACAGAATAGCAGAATGACAGAGAAAGGATGAGAAACATCTTGTTCAGGTGCTGCTTTGTAGCAAAGAAAGGATTTGCCAGCTGTGTGTGTGGAGTAAAGGAAGTTTCCCAACTGATGGAAATGATCCACTGGCATCTCCTAATCAAATTGTTTTGTTATGGGGCACTCTGTGCTGTCTTCAGTTGCTTTTGTTTTCCTTTTGCCTGAAACCATTCGTGGAATCAGGGAATGGTTTGGGTCACTCAGTTCCACCCCCTGCCATGGGCAGGGACACCTTCCACTATCCCAGTTTGCTCCAACCTGGCCTTGGACACTTCCAGGGATCCAGGTGCCTGTGCCAGAGCCTGCCCACCCTCCCAGAGAGGAATTTCTTCTCAATGTCTACCCTAGACCTACCCCACTTCAGTTTGAAGCCATTCCTCTTTGTCCTGTCCCTGCAGTTCCTGCTCAGGGGTCCCTCTCCAGCCCTTTCAGGTAGTGGAAGGTTCCTATGAGGCCTCCACACAACCTGCTCCTCTCCAGCTCTAAATTTCCCATCCTGTCTCCACAGGGAAGGTGCTCCAGTCCCTTTATCCCTTTGTGGCCTCCTCTGGACTTGTTCCGACAATTCCAAGCCCTCCTTACTCTGGGGACACCAGAACTGTGTGGAGAGCATTCCAGGAGGGTTCTCAGGAGAGCATTCCAGGAGGGTTCTCAGGAGTGCATTCCAGGAGGGTTCTCAGGAGAGCATTCCAGGAGGGTTCTGTGGAGAGCATTCCAGGAGGGTTCTGTGGAGAGCATTCCAGGAGGGTTCTGTGGAGAGCATTCCAGGAGGGTTCTCAGGAGAGCATTCCAGGAGGGTTCTCAGGAGAGCATTCCAGGAGTGTTCTCAGGAAAGCATTCCAGGAGGGTTCTCAGGAGAGCATTCCAGGAGGGTTCTCAGGAGAGCATTCCAGGAGGGTTCTCAGGAGAGCATTCCAGCATTCCCTGCCCAACAGGACGTGTTTCCCCAGCCTGCAGCTCCCACCCTGCTGCAGCTTCCAGGGGAGGAGCTGGAGCCCCCCAGGCTCTGCTTTCAGCCGGGGGATTTTGGGGGTCGTTGTTCCCCCCCAGACCCTTCAGCACCGCGGCCAGGGCGGGTGCGGGGCCGCTCAGCACCGCGGACAGCGCCGGGCTGGCCAGGGATGCTCCTCGATCCCGGGATGGGCTGAGCTGGGAGAGACCCACCAGGATCACCCAGTCCAACCCTCAGCCCTGCACAGCCCCATCCCCAGAGTCACCCCCTGTGCCCCAGAGGATCATCCAAACCCTCCTGCAGCTCTGGCAGCCTTGGGGCTGTGCCCACTGCCCTGGGGAGCCTGTTCAGTGCCAACCACCCTCTGGGGGAAGAACCTTTCCCTGAGATCCACCCTGAGCCTGCCCTGACACAGCTCCAGCCATTCCCTGGGTGCTGTCCCTGGTCCCGCAGAGCAGAGCTCAGTCCTGCCCCTCCTCTGCCCCTGCCCAGGCAGCTGGAGCTGCAGGGAGGTCTCCCCAATTAATGGGGTTGTCCCTCCAACCGTGTCACTCCTGCCCTGCCATCCTGCCAAAGCACCCATTTTTCCCTCTTAATTATTATCCCAATGTTTATGAGGATATAAGTGATTCTGAGGTAATAAGGAATTCTGGAAAATTAGCTTTATTTTTGTTTGTTTGAGCAGAGTGCTTAAATAGTCTGCTTTCTATCCAGACCTGGCATATATGTACACATACACCTCTTTTTTAGGGGTACAGAGGTGTGAAACCCGCTTTTCCAAAGGTGAATGTTGATTTTTCCACCCTTTGGTTCTAAAAGTAGAACCAAATCTCCCAGCAGCCTTTGTGAGTCCACAGGTCTCACACCTGCAGGTGAATCCCGTGTTTGCTCCATCCCTGTGACATTCCCAGGGGTGTTTGGTGCCTGCAGGAGTGGTGAGGAGTTGAGGGGGAGGGAATATCAATTTACTGAGGGTGATGCAATCCTAACAAGCAGTGGAGTGTTGGTGTGAGGAACATTCCCTCATTCCCTCTTGCCTGTAAAATTGGATTCCTGAATCCATGAACAGCAAAGGAGAGACGAGCCCTCTGATAAATATTTACAGTGTGATTTCTGTGTCACCTAAAAAATGCAGATCTTTGCCCTTGCTGTTGAACAACGGAGAGGGGGAAACATAATTAAAGATGAGCAAGACAAACCCAACACTGGTGAATGAAAAGGGCTTAATTAGAAATCAAATATTTGATGGGTTGGGGAGACACATTAATGCTGATGTGGGCTGAGAGATAACACTTGAAATGGAGTGAACATGGGAACAAATGTTATTTCCAATCCCTTTCATTTGCTTCAGATAATTTCAGCTCTGAATATGAGCGGGGAATACACAATCTTCTGGTCTGACATGATGTTTATCTTTGGAGTGGGGGTTTTATGTAGAATTAGTTGCATTTGTGTGCACAATCATCATTATCTGCAGTGACTCTGCATGTTGAACTCTCCCACAAAGGGCTTTGATCTGCTGGGACACAGAAGGGCCTCTCGAGTCCTTTCTCTGGTGGGAGCAGAACCCCAAGAATTTCTTCTTCTGTGTGTTGTGTGTGTTGAACTTGGACTGTTCAGTCTGTCAGGTTGATACACTGTGGTTTGGGAGCTGCAAAATCGGCTCAGAAATCACCTTGGCTGGTGACAAAATGTGCAATAAGACATTTCTGAAGGAAATTGCTGTGGGAATATTCGATGGGAATATGCTACCTGGGACACTTGACGAGGTCTGTTGGACCCCTGGAGTGGTTTTGGCTCTGGTGTGATGGTTCACAGTGGGATGAACCTTTTTAATTCACCTGTTCCCTCCTGGGATGAGAGATCTTTAAAACAGTAGGTTTGCTTTTCACGTGTTCCACTTCAGGAAATTAGGCTGGATATCCCTAAATGCTTTCTGATTTATCTCCTTGATTCCCCTGGCACAGAAATCCCACACCCTGCCCTTTACAGAGCCAGGCCCCAAATATGAAAATAATAACACTAATGAATATTTCTGTAGTACATTTGATGTTCTCCTGCTGTGTCTAATAATGCATTCTCCACATAGCGTGCCCCAGTCGTGTTGCTTCATTATTTTAAAATTTAGAGGCTTTTGTTTTTCCAACTCAGCCCTGTGTTTGCAGCTCCTCGTTATGGAGCTGCTTTAATTGCATTATCCCCCTCATTTTGGGATTGAATATGGCCATTGAGGCAGGAAAATGCTGCTGGAATCACAGAAACGGCCAAGCTTTGGTCTTTGCAAGGTATTTAAAATTCTGCTGCTGTTCCCAGAAGCCTCAGCCAGTGGATTATTTTTCATGGACAGGCAGTACATCCTTCTCGGGGGGCTTTTATGGCCAGACTGTATAAAATGATAACACAATGAATGGGGCACCTGCCATCCTCTATCAGCTGCTTAAATCAGCTGCTGCAGACAGGAATTCAATGCAGGAGAAGATGTTTCGAATGGATTTTTCAGGTACAAGGCATAACAAGGAATTTCGAGGCTCTCCTTGATGCATTGGCACCGAAATAGCTTTAAAGACGTTTATGGGGCTTCAATAAAGGTGTCGTTAAAGATGCTTTCAAACCCTCCTCAGAATAATAAAATTACTTTGCTGCTCTGAGGCACTGAGGAGAATATCATGTTATTGTTAGATTGGATTATATTAGTGTCCAGAAGTCTTAGATATTGGATAAAATACACTGGTTTAGCGAGGAACAAAGGGAGAACCTCTTGTTCCTTCCTTCAGGGAGAAGATTTTACTCCCAGGAATAAAACCCTCCCCTGTAATTTTATTTTTATGCAAATGAGGTGTGATGAGGGAAAATAACTAGATTAGCGTGTCATAATATTTTCCATGTTGAACTCGGTGGGATTTATGAATACTGCAGTGTTCACCCTCTCCTGGAAAAACCTGCTGAGCACCTTCTGGGTTGACATTGTCCCTTGTGTTTCATTTTGCAACGAGAGCCCAAAGATTAAAGCTTGAAGGCAAATTTCAGACACCTCCTGTCCCAAAGGAAGTGGAAATGGAGGTGGAGGTGCTGTGGGGAATTCAGTGGGTTTAGGCTGTGTTAACTGGGATGTAAAGCAGCTCAAAGAGGCTGCTCAGGGAACTGTGGATCCCCATCCCTGGAAGGGTTCCCAAAAACCTGTGGATGTGGCACTCGAGGACATGGTTTCATGGTGACACAGCAGTGCTTGGTGGATGGATGGATGATGATCTTGGAGGTCTTTTCCACCCGTAATTCTTGTGATTGTATGAAATGATGGCCCTGATTTCCCTGTCAGAGACTGACAAATTCTGTCAGCAACACCACTGGGAATCCTGCTGTGGCTTCTCACCCACGTGGTGCCCATTGTGATGTTCCTCTTGCTCATCATCAGGCACCTTCTAGGTTTTCTTCCCAAACGATTTTTAAAATGAACTTCCTGGGGTGGAGTTAGGTTGGTTTAGTTGG